TAAATATAATTAATTTTTCATGTTTTGTAAAGTCTAAAAATTTGTCTAGCATCAAGATTATAATTTATCTTATGTTATAAGTCTTACGTAAAAATGGATTGGAATTCACTTGTCATATTAAATTTATGCTTAACATTAGATTTATATCAACTTGTCCTTCACCTAATCATTAAAAATTATTTTTGTCTTTTCCTAACTATATATGAATTATTTGACCTATCTATTTATTAAATTAGTAATAGATATTTGTAAGTATTTTTTATAATAATAAAAATTTTGAACTTAGTTTAAAAAAATTATATATTTATGTTTAAAACAATTAAATGAATAGTTATATATATATTTATAGATGAAAATATTATCTTAAGATAGGGCTACCCTAAATTGTAGGTCATACTCTAATCCTAATAAATTTAAATTGTATCATAGCTTATCAATTTGTGATTGATATGAGCTAAGTTTGGGGGTTTTAATATTGGATTAAACACTAAAAAGTAGTTAAGAAAATTTGTTCAAGTCGATTTTTTTGCCAATAATTCTTGATTTAAGCATAGTCCTTAGAGAATCATCTAGTGCATGTCCAATTCATGAGTGAGTAGACCCACTTATTTATTTAATTTGTAATTAGTAAATATATATATTTTTAAAAAATTAATAACAAAAATAGAAATATGTACATATTTGTTTGGTATATTTATTAACAATTTTAAAATTAATTAAGAAATTATGTAGTTATTCTTAAAAGAATAAATTACATTAGTAGTCCTTATATTTTACTCTTATGTTATTTTTATCTTTGCAATTTTAATTTTCTAGATTTTGATCATAAATTTAAAATTTTGTCTCAATTTGGTCCAATTGTTATAATTGCTAGTTTTTTTTTTTTTTTTTTATATTAAAAATACGCACATGAGTAGCATCTGTTATAATTTTATAGACAAAATATAAATTTGTTCAACTCACTAAGTTAATGTCAACCAACTCAATAACTATTTTCTTTAAAAAACCTTGATCGACATTATCAATTGGACCAAATTGATGCAAAATCTAAAATTAATGGTCAAAATCAAAGCTAATTAAAATTACAAAACCAAATTGACACAAGAGACAAAATGCGAGGACTACTAAATATAATTTACCCTTTTTAAAATATGTCTAATATTGATTGTATTAATATTAAGATATATTTATATCTGAAAAACTATTTACCCTTCTTAAAATATGTCTAATATTGATTATATTAATATCAAGATATATTTAGATTTGAAAACTATTTAAAACCAGATCAGGTTAGAACTTAAATAAAAAATTGATGGCTTATTAAAAATATTTAATAATTATAAATTTAATTTGATCAATTTTTCATTTAATTTTTTTATAATAGAATTAGGTTGTTTGATAATTATAATTTATAGTTCCAATTTTTCTTTGTGTGTTTTTTTTTTAAAATCTCTTAAAATTATATATATATTGGGTAAATTACACTAACCTCCCCTGAGGTTTACCTTAATTACAGGGACTACTTCTATAGTTTCAAAAATAACATTAACCTCCTATACTTTTGAAAATAATACACAGATTCCCCTTTCCTGTTAAAGAACATGATGGACGTTAACTTGACAGTTGAATTGACCATTGAGAGGGAGATTTATGAACCGGAAGTGGGCTGAGATAAAAAGCCGAGCATGTTGAAGGCCAAGGGCGTGTTGGGCCGAGATAGCTTAGTACTTGCCTAGAGTTGGGGCCGCTCGGCCCGTGGCCGAACTACTCGCACTAATGGTGACCGTGCAACTTGCGTTGCTCGGCCAGAAGCATACGCCTTTGGCTCGGCAGGAAAGCCTTTGGTTGATCGGCGTGACCTTCCCGGAGCTCAACTTCGCCGGAATGCAGCCGAGCACGATAGGGACGGAAGCTCGGCTATTGCTACACTTGGGCATGAAGTGCACCTGGATGTCGGCGGCCGTGATGTTGTACCTCGGTTGCCAAGCTCCCAGCAGAGTGGGCTGGCAGTTGGGTTAGGTAATGTACAGCAAAGATTTGTGCTGACGGATGGGATAGCAGCACCACATGTCGAGAGGCGAATGGGAGTAGATTTGGGGCGCAAAGGTATATAAGCGGGTCTTGCGCCCCCATGCCTTGACAGATGACATTTTAGTGAGATAAACACTAAACACAACTCAATCCTCTCTCTCTCTCTCTCTCTCTATCTGTGTGTGTGTGTCTAACTTGATCGTTGGAGGGGTTTTCCGGCCACACACCGCCGGGTAGCTCACCGCCGTTGTACTCGCAGGTCGATCGGACAGACAGGAGCTTGGAAGAAAGGAGTGCGGACTTGCCTGAATATTTGCTCCCCGCACAATTGGTGCCGTCTGTGGGAAGTTGACAGACAAAATCTTGTCTTCCAAGCTCATCTGATCGCCGTCCATGGCAAACAGCGACGAGATTCCATTGTCTGCCATCGACGGAATTACCCCGGAGTCAGGCGACGGAGAGAAGGGCATCCACCATCGTTCCTCTGATGGCGGACCTGGAGACTTCTCCAGGAGGACATTCAAGAGATGCGCGGGATAAGCGCGGAAGAAGTTATGGTCATTCACGGAGTCCAGACGTCATCGGCGGCGGAGAGATCGCATGCCAGACGTCTGGAACACAAGTTAAGGACCAGGACACCGTCATCCGGCGAATGGCAGCGATGATGGGGGAGCTGAAGCGGCATGTTAAAGGGAAGGGTGTAGCTGGAGTGGGAGACCACAGGGAGCGCACCCAACCCCGCCATTCAGGCAGTCAAAGTCAGCGACACACTGCGTCTATTTCCATCACCAGAAGTTACAAGGTTGGAGATTCTGACCTGCACGAAAAGAAGTCCAGCGCGCAAGACAGCACCTATGACCCTCACGTCCGGCGACGTCGAGGTATTCTTATTCCACTCGTTCAGAGGATTTGCGGGCAGTCTTGAAGGAACGAGCTCGCCGGTAGGAGGCCTTAGAGGGTGCCGGCGTTCCAGCGGCTATCCTATGGTTCACACAGCGAGGAGGTCGGAATGCCTCCACCCCGCCAAGCAACGCCACTCCTTCTAGATATAGACTTGGCAAGGCTGAGCGCCACCCCCTTTCTCTTTGGAGATAGAAACGACACCACTTCCGGCAGGCTTCCACCAGCCTAAATTCACATTCTACGACGGGAAAACCGATCCTACATGCTGTGAGTCACTTCCGACAGGTCATGGTCGGGCATAGGCGGAATGACGCACTTATGTGCCTTATCTTCCCGTCAAGTTTAGGCGAACTGGGCTTGAAATGGTTCGAGAGGTTGCCGGAGGGGAGCATAGAAAGGTGGCATCAGTTGGCCGAGGCCTTCGTGACGCGCTTTAAAACCAACACGAAAAACACCAAAGGAAGTTGACCACCTACTGAGTGTCAAAATGGAACCGAGCGACACATTGAAGGCATACAACTCCAAATATTGGGAGACCTTCAACGAGATTTGGATTGCCCGGTCAACCTTGCAATCACACAATACAAGCGAGGTCTTCCGGTCGGACATAGACTGCGGGACTCGCTTACCATGCACCAGCCGACATCCATGGGCCAGCTAATGCAGCGCATCAAATGAGCACATCCGTGTGGAGGATGATGCGTCGGCATCCAGCGCGAAAACAACTCCGGTAGCAGCGGACAAGAGGTTAGCTGGCAAAGTGCACGCGGTCGGGCAGGAGTCCGCCGATCCAGCGACCGCGCTGAGGAATCGGACCGTGGCACTAATCGCAAAAATCGGGGTAGGGGACGTCGGAATGACCGGGATGACTACCTCTGGGATGATGTAACCGATGCAAACAGAATGTATGATCCGCGAGGGCGAAGTGAGCTTAGTGGTCTACTTGCTAGCTTTGAGAGTGGTGTTTTTTGATAATAATCATATGTGTTTAATATTTTGATAATAATCATATGTGTTGGATTTCAAAGAATTTTTGTTATGCTTGTTCTTAATGCATTAAAGTATTATTATGAGGGTAAGACTTGGGAGTTGGAAGAAGTTAATAAATGCTAAGGTTTTTTTTTTTTTAAATCAAAAAATCAGAAAATTTAGATTGAGAGATTGGAGCTCCCACAAGGCTTGGGGTTAAAAACTCTCTTTTGCTTAATCATATGTGTTTATCTATATATGTGAATTGCGATTTTTAAATTTTTTTTTTTAAATGTCTTCTTTTTTTCCTTTTATATATTATATTAAAGTTTAATATTTTGATAATAATCATATATGTTGGATTTGTGAAGGAATGAATGTCTTCTTTTTTTTATTATATTATATTAAAGTTTAATATTTTGATAATAATCATATGGGTTGGATTTCAAAGAATTTTTGTTATGCTTGTTCTTAATGCATTAAAGTGTTATTATGAAGGTAAGATTTGGAGGTTGGAAGAAGTTAATAAATGCTAAAACTTTTTTTTTAAATCAAAAAATTAAAAAATTTAAATTGAGAGATTAAAACTCCCACAAAACTTAAGATTAAAAACTCACATTTTACTTGATGTATAGCATAGATTCGAACTACCCGTCAATGTTATTAAAATGCCATTCATGATGAGTTTTCACAAAGATGAAAGTCAGCTCAAACAAATTGACCAGACCGATTCGGTTCAGGTGGTTTTCCGCCAAACGACCTCGGACGAGTCACCCAACATTGCACGTAATTTGTGTACACCCAAGCAGTTACCATTACCAACCCCAAACGTTTCGACGGTGTCGCTTTCTCCCGCAACTCCCCATCTACCCCCAGATAGAGAAAGTTCGTCTCCTGCTGCCTCTCTCTCTCTCTAGATCTCTCATTCTCTCCCTCTCTCCGTCATAACTTTAATTATTCAATTCGACATAAATGACCCAAATATGATCTGAATCACCTCAAATTTCTTCATATATATCAATCAATCTCTACATTTGTCTGCATTTTTTACAGATCGAGTTCCGGATCGGCCACGATCGAATCCGAAGATCCTAACAATGGCGGCATCGAGACGCCTCCGAGACCTACAAGCGCAAATCGGGAACAAGACCTGCGTCGATTGCGCGCAGAAGAATCCTCAATGGGCGTCGGTATCGTACGGGGTGTTCATGTGCTTGGAATGCTCCGGGAAACACCGCGGCCTCGGCGTTCACATCAGTTTCGTCCGATCCGTCACCATGGATTCGTGGTCCGAGATCCAGATCAAGAAAATGGAAGCCGGAGGCAACGAACAGCTCAACAAATTCTTCTCTCAGTACGGCATCGCAAAAGAGACAGACATCGTCACGAAATACAACACCAACGCCGCCTCTGTTTATCGGGATCGCATCCAAACCCTAGCCGAGGGCCGCCCCTGGCGAGACCCGCCGGTTGTCAAGGAAAATGTCGGAGCCAGCAAGAGGAAACCGCCGTTGAGCGGCGGCGGAGGTGGTGGTGGTGGAGGCGGAAAGGGAGGGTGGGATAGTTGGGACAGTTTTGATGACGGAGGAGGGGTTAGATCGGCGGCGGCGGCGGATGTGAGGCGGAACCAGTCGGTGAGCGATTTCAGGAGTGGCGGCGGAGGTCGAGGGTTGAATTCGAAGTCGAGGTCGACGGAGGATATTTTTACGCGGTCGCAATTGGAGGCTTCGGCGGCGAATAAGGAGACGTTTTTTGCTATGAAGATGGCGGAGAATGAATCGCGGCCAGATAATGTGCCTCCATCGCAAGGCGGGAAGTATGTGGGCTTCGGATCGAATCCGGCGGGGGCGGCGGCTCCGATGCCGAGAAATAATTCGCAAGGGGATGTTCTTTCTGCTGTTACTCAGGTTGTTTGCAATTCTGTTTGTGTGCGTTTCAGCATAATGTATGTGTTAGGATTTTGATTTTTGTATATTGATCTGATTTGTTTTAATGTGTTCTATTCAGGGTTTTGGGAGGTTATCTATGGTTGCTGCATCTGCGGCTCAGTCTGCGGCCAATGTTGTTCAAGCAAGCACAAAGGAGATCAGTTCCAAGGTATTTGGCACTTCATTTGTTTAAATTTTGCCCTTATTTTACAAATCAAGTTCATTTTAATTATAATCAGAGTATGGATGATCAAATTTTCAGATTTCAACAAAAAGAAAAAACTATGAATCATACATTTATTATTGATGTGTGGCTTAGTGCTGCTGGAGCAAGTTTGGTGGTGCTTGAAATAAATAACTATGGGTCTAAATTATAGAATTCATCATTTTTGTTTGAAGTTTAGCCGACCTTTCGACAATGCTTAGTGAAAAAGAGAGATCATGATGCTTGTATGAATGATGACATTTTAGAAATTCGGCTAACTGACCTTCCTTGAGATTTCTGACAAATACACAGACCCTTCTTGTTTCTAAAATTATATTGACCTCTCTTTTTTTATTACAATGTACAAAGACATCTCTTTCATTATGTAACCAGGGGAGAATTAATAGAAAATTGTGATGTCATCAACATTTTTTGGTGTTTAAATACAAACACTACCCTTACAAATATAAGATGCAATTACCCTTTCGCCTTTTTACAAGATTAAATTTTTATAATTTTTTTTAACCAAACAAACCTGGAACATTTTTGGATTTTTTTTATCTTTGTAGCCAAATACTTCCTTCTTCATTTTCTTTCACTCCCTCTTCACTAACCACCACTCCATGTTTTCTCTCGGTCTCTCACCTTTGATCAGCAACCCAATCCACATTGTGTGAATCACCTACCACCACAATCGCCACCTTGTCTCACACCCCACAACCACCCTATCCCACCCCTCTCTGTTGCTACACCCATCAATCACCTATGGCTCTCTACCGCTACCACAATCCAACTTTGCCACAATTCATATAGCAATGACGATCCATCCATCGACAATGATCCATGATAGTGGGGCTTGTGTTGCGGATGGGTTTGAGGCTGGTTTCCATGATTGTGCGCTCGTGTATTTGATGGGTTTTCAATGGATGTGGTATACGATGGAATCGGGGGGTGGGTTTGTGGGGGTGTATGTTGAGCGGGTGGTGGATTGGTGGTTGCAGGGCTTGCAATGGTGGTGGTAGTGGTGAAAGGAAGCGGAAAAAGAAAAGGAATATAGGGTGAATTGAGACTTCAGTGGGGTGGTTTTGGGTTGCAGTAGTTAGAGGCAAAATAGCTATATGCTGCAATGCAATGCGACTAAAGTTCTTCCTCTTCCACCAATCTGTACGGAGTGGGTTCTTTGAAGCTCGTTGAAAATGGTGGATTTTGCTAAAAACTAGCTAGAGAAGATGAAGTTCATCGTAAATGATGAATTTCACCAAAAGTAGAGAGGAGAGGCCAATAATCAGATTCAAGAAGAAGAGATGGAGGAAGATGATGGCTGGGTGAAAAGCAAGACAAGCATGTAGAAAGAAATTTGGCAGAGCATCCTTTAATATATCCTTAATCTCACTTCCTCATTCATGTGTTCTAAATGTATACCTATGGGTGGGCAGCTATATGTAGGCACCCAACATTAGCTTAGCGACCAAGCAATCGATATAGTGGCGGTATGTGGCCAAGGAACGAAATGTGGAATATTCTCTCTTTAACTGTCTGGTCGAGACAATTGTTGACATCTGACCACTTCCTTTCATTCTCCAAGTGTAAGGAGAGGTTCTAGTGTTTTATGAATGTTTCAATGAACACTCATCAAAGATAGTTAAATACTTGGAAAACACAAAACTCTCGAACAAGCGCATTATCCTTGGAGAAGATGAAATCCTCGAGGGAGATCCATTTCTCAGGTTAAGTATTTGGACTTGAAAAGGTTTAGAATCATAAACCCAGAGAACTGAGTATTTGGCTTCGAAAAGGTTCAATGAACGCGAAAGTCACTCCATTAAGGGTCCTAGAACACTTGCGAACCTGGAGCCATTCCGAGATTGACACGTCTGAACCATGATGTGGTGAGTCCGAAAATAGACCCTCTCTTGAAAATGGAGAACTCGAAGATAACTTCGCTACACATTCTTATTAGCCTATAAAGTTAAGGTAGCAAGACTTAGCATATTGTTGCATGTTCATTTCCGTCAACTCCATTCATGTGGGGAATTGTTGGAAATTTGAGTTTTCTAGGCTTATTTTTGGGTAACTTGGAGCCCAAATTGAAACGGGACCCATGCATCATTTGAGGTGGGTCCCAGTGGTGACGTGTTCCTTGCCACATGTTGAATCATGCCTTGAAGATGATTCATCAAAAACATTTCCGAGTGAATGGGAAGTCGATGTCATTTTCGGGTTCGCGAAAATGGAAGTTGAAGAGACAAAGTATGTTTGCTCAATAAATGGTTTGTCCCACATAGAAACAAAGTTAGAGTTTATATGAGTATATAAATTCTAGGTTAGCATACTTGGGATAGGTTCCAAGGGGTACCCCAAGTTTTGTAAAAATGAGAGTTATGGACAAAATGAGTTTGACCTAAATCCATCACACCCACGCGCCATCGGCCGGCCCGGGCGCGGGTGCATGTTGTGGGTCGAGTCCTAACTTTAATTTTTGTGACAAAATTCATTTGAATTTTTTTTCAAAATTTTTTCAAGAAAATTCAAAATCCTGAATTGTTTTGCTTCAAATATTTGCGGAAAAATTTCTAAATTTGAATTTTCGAATTCAAATCCGAACTAGTTCCCTTCCCTTCCCTTCCCTTCCCTTCCCTTCCCTTCTTTGGTCACCTCTCTTCACTCCGTCGGTTTTTCGATTTGCATCTATTCAGAGGGTCTCCAAACCCATCCAAAAGAGTCACCATGGAGCTTATAAATTTAGATCTTGTCCAACAATTCCTTCATTTGTTTTTGCATTCTTCCCTTGCATTCCTCTGCATATTTCCTGCTTTGTTTTTGCATGAGAGTTCAACACATTCTATTCGCTAGTCTCAATCTTGTAGTGCTGCGTTGTTGGGATGTATTCGTTGCATCTTGAGAGGTCAGCGTCATTGTTCTCGAGCACCATAGCGAGGACGTAATGCTCTCAAAGCAAGTGTGTCCAATACACGCTTCAGCTTTTCTGTATTTTGCATTTTTCTACATTCTGTAAGTTCTGTCTATTTTATTTTATTTGATTTATAGTTTGTGATCTTATTCTTGTTATATACTTCGAACAAGAATTTCTCTTCTTATTTGTGGTTCGAAAATATTATTATGTTTCAAAATAATTTTTTGTTTTTCAAAAAATAATTTACATTCTGAAATTATTTTTAGACTTTGGTCTATAAGTCATTATTTTATTTTTTAAATACACACAGTTCGCTTTTAATAAATAGTTGCCTACATTATATACATGTAATGTATATTTAACAAATATAATTGGGGCGGGAATTTTGCTTATTAAAAAGTTGGTGTCTTGTTGGCTTAACAGTCACCTATGACTAGTGAGTGATTGTAGGTATTTGGTGTTCACTTTCTAGGGGCAGGCCCGAAGGTCCCTGCATTGGGGGCTTATATATATATATATGTTGAAAAAAAAACCTTCAAAGGGTTCTGACCAAACCTATTCAAATACCCGTTATATTATTATATATAAATTGGCTTATATTTTTCTTTAGGGAACTTTTTTCAACTTTGAGTTAACTTTTTTACTTTTTGGGCCCATCTAGATTGGGTGATCCTAAAATTTTTAAAAAACTAGAAAAATTGTGAAAATTTTCTAACTTCAAATGTGAGTTGAAATATTTTGGATTCAACCAAAACAACCACATAATAATATATGGTTAACATTTTTTGTCTGTACATTATTGCAAGATTGAGTTCAGGTGTTAATTTTAATTTTAATTTTATCAATTTGTTGTTATGTTAGTATATTTGGTAAACCTTGCGCAAATACACACATCCACATTTGTGGTTGAATGACTGACCTTTAAGCTACATTCTTTTGGTTAAGAGAGGGTTGTCTATTTTGTGTTGTTTTTTGTTCAGTTAATTGGAGCTTTTTCTTGTGGATGTATTTTTTTTAAGGATTGTCATGCTAAATATCAACCATATAACACGGCAATGCAAAGTCTATTTTACCCCCTTATGGTTTGACTACTCTAGAGAACTTAAACCTCCCTGACATTTAAAAATGGCCAATTTTCCCTCTTGTGGATTTGACTCTAGTTGCACTTTACCTTCTTCTGTTATCAATTAACAGAAGTTGTTCTATTCGCACACATTTTTTGAGTTGGTAAATTTTAAGTTAAAGTCAAATTCCAATACAAATTGACAATATGGTCCTTGTCCTCCTCTCTTTTGTCCTAACCCCTGTAAAACCCTAATCCCAACCCAACATGAATGGACATCAATGCATGCTAGAGATCACACTTTACTAGCAGGCTTAATTGAATGACAGCACCTGTTCTCTTCATCCAGAAATCATTTGGGTAATCATCAGCATGAAATATACATTAATTGTTTGGTGGTACTATGTGACTGTTTCTGTTCATTAAAAAAAATTGTGTATGCTTGAGATTTAAATGGCCACTGTTGAGTGTTACAGCACGTTGTTTTAAATTTCAGCAACCTGCCTCTTCTAAATCCAAGCTAACTACATTCCTTTTTAAACCCCAAAACATATATCCTTGCTTCCACCTTTCAGGATCATAATCCAATAATCTTTCCTCACCACCCTAAACCCATCACCAAACCAACCACAGGCATACCTAGCCCAAGTTTTTTAAATTTATGCTGCACCAATAAAACAATCTAGACTTTGCGCATATTTCAGCAAACAGATAGCATATGTATGTATATACGTGTATGCATATACGTGTATATATGTATATGTATATGTATGTATGTATGTTTGTGTGTGTGTGTGTGTATTCTTTGTACTGTTTAATCAATGAATGATGCTGTTGGAATGTTGAATCGGCTGGTGTTGGTAAGTTGAATATGATGGTAGTTGAAACAGGGGGAAGAGGGTGGAAGACATTGTTATATTGGAGGCTGTAAAGTATTTTTGTGTTTTGTTGTTAACAGAGTTAACATTGCAATTTAGTCTGGAACCACATGAGGGGTGGAAAATGTTCTGCAGAGGGGCACACTGTAGTAATTTTAACATCATTTTTAAATTTGATTACCTGAATGATTCCGAGGTTTTAGTATCTCGGAACCTCTGTGTTTTGTGAATTTAATTTTAGACTTGCTAGGTTTTACTGTGACCACTTTGGATTTATTTGTGTTGCATTTATGTTTGCACTTCATAGCCTTTGATGCTTCATGGGCAATCTCTTGCTCCAATTATTGAAATTATGGCTTTGTTGAATTGGAATAGAGTTCTTTTGGATTGATTGATTCTGATGAAATCCTTCCATGTTCCTTTACCTTGGTTTATGGTCCGATAGGTGTCATGACATTCATGAGAGGTGCATGTAATCCACTCAGTAGCGTCTTTGCCAATGCGTTAGCCTCTAGTAGGAATAAACAATGGTTATGACTTAGACCAGGCGTAGTGGGGTCCCGCCCCTTCCCTCCTCTGCCTTCATAGCTCTTCTTTATATATATATATATATATATATTTATAAGTAAATGATATTTTCACAAGGAAAATAATATATATCACTAGAAATTTTTATACAGAATCAGTTTCCAAAATGATGTGGTAGTGACATACTTGTAAATTATGTTGATAATGACAAGCCTTGTGATTTTAAATGAAAGGATCACAGTTAGCCTCATCTTTCTGTATAACAATTTTGTATAACATTTCTGTATGTGTAGCACTACTCTTCTCACTGACTTCCTTGGAACTGAAATTTACGTATTCCTTAAGTTGGGATCCTTATCTCATAGATAATTGAGATTACCAGCCTTCTCAGAGGTTGGATATATTTGCATTCCTCCTATAGCCTAACAGATGGTGGTGTTATAGTAGTTTCAAAATTTTACCAAATCAGTAACGATAGGATACCCATTGAAAAAAGGTGTAGGACGTAATGCCAAGGGGGATTTTGAAGAGAAACTTGAAACCTTTGAAACGTTATGCTGTTAATCAGATAAAACACTTGCCAATTATTCTTTGTTGGTTTTTTTTGTTCTTTGGTATCATAAACGGTTGCAAGCTCCATCATATCGATAGCAAATTATATGGAAACCAACTGATATCATGATTATTCATTCACTTAAATATCCTGATCCATTTTGCCAATTTTTTTGGGGGATTTTGAATCTATCTAGCAAATATATTCTATAGAAGTTCTTGTTATTCTGCTGTGTGGTTATTAAGTATTCAAGAATGCCAAAAAAGGGGTGAAATATTGAAGCTAAGGTCAATGTGTGCTGCTGTGTGGTTATTAAGTATTTCAAGAATGCCAAAAAAGGGGTGAAATATTGAAGCTAAGGTCAATGTGTAAATCATTTCTAACAGGTGAGAGAGGGAGGGTATGATACCAAGGTCAATGAAACAGTCAATGTTGTCACCACAAAAACAACAGAGATCGGACAGAAGACATGGGGGATCATGAGAGGGGTCATGGCATTGGCCTCACAAAAGGTGGAGGAGTACACTAAGGAAGGCAGCACGGGCACTGGCACCAGCTGGAAGGCAGACAACTGGCAAAGAAACGAAAGCGAGGGAAATGGCTATTATCAAGAGTTTGCACAAGAGTCAAAAGGATGGAGTTCCAGAGGAGGGAAGTCCTCATCTGGTGCTGCTCATAATAATTCTGTCAGCTCAGGGTCTTGGGATGATTGGGACCAAAAAGACAATAGGAAAGAAGAATCCTCCACAAAGGGTGCAGCGGCCAGTAACGGGGATGGCTGGGCAGGTTGGGACGATGGAAAAGATGACGGATTTGATCATTTCTACCAGAGTGCATCACCTGATAAGAAAACTGTTGGGCACAATGGAAAATCCGATTCCAACTGGACTGATGGCGGCTTTCTCTAAGGTTAGTACATGATCACCAACTTTTTTTTTTGACCTTTCAAAAGTGATTTTTTTCCCCATGTAACTTGTTGGGAAGGGGCTTGTATAATTGTGAACGGTGTGGGCTAATTGCTCAACTCACAACCAATGTCTTTCGAGTGTGAGGAACATTGTTTGTGACTTTTTAAATTTAGATTGCTTTCGGATTTGTAACGACTGCAGTTCAATTATTATTATTATTATTATTATTATTAATGTTTTTTTTTTGGGTACTATTTCAATATATTGTACTTGATTTTAAAATTTTAATCATGCATTGTTGCATGTTCTTGTGATACCTTTTGATTAAATTCACATTTTCATGTAAATGCTTGTTTGCCCTTGACTGAACTACCACTAGTGTCGACTCTTATGAAATTGAGTTGTGTTGACATTGTCTCTCATGAAGTCGACACAAATGATTTTTTTTTCTTTTTTTGAATAAACAACGGTAAAGTTTGAAATAGAATTTGGATTGTTTTTTGAAAAATTAATCTCTTGGGTTCACAAAGACTGGCTAAATGGCTAGATGACATCTAACTTAACACCTGACTTCTTTGACAACTGTGGTAATAGCTCCATTGCATGAGATAAATGCAATACATATTCACTTACTGTGAACATTTGAATCTAACTTAGTGCTAATATGTGCTCTAGGAATGCTCTTATTCTTAGTGGTAATAAAATGATATAGGGACTTGTTGAAATGTTCATATGAGATTGATTTGTTAGGTAACCAAGGTAAAATTTGAAAACAATTTTTAAACCATCTTCACTAAAATTTGGCTTGATAAAATTTATATGTACTATAAAAAAAAATCGAGTTATTTAAATTTAAATAATAAGATGAATTTTAATAATCGATAGAAAACGTCTAACCACATCATTTGGAATTAGAATTGTATACTTTCAATTAAATTTCTTTTTTTAGCGAACCTATTTATTATGTAAATACATTGGTGGTGAAGTTTCCTCACTGAGTGTAGGTCGAGGATGATCTACTTTGGAAAAAATTATCGATAAAATTATGATATTATATCATTATCATTCAATAAAAAGTTATCAAGTATTAGTAATGAAGTGGCATTTCCGCTATGTGAAAATTTTAATTTTCTAATTTTTTAATTTAAAAAAAAAATTAGTATTTATTGAATTCTCCCAACCTACAAGGTTAATGATGGGATTGTTTAATTATTTTTATAAAAAATATAAAAAAAATAATTTGTATATTAAAAAAATATCTAAAATAAATATAAATTCTTATTAAAAAATAACAGGTTACAATTGCAGGAAAAAAAAAAAGAAAAGAAAAAAAACAGGTTGTAATTGTGAAGAAAAAAATAAGGAGGAAAAAAAAATTACACTGTGCATTTAATTAATAATGCTCAAAAAATGTGTCAAGTATTTGTGTAAAAACTTTACCTGTGTCCACTCTCAAATTATCAAGTGAATGTAGATGAAATCAAAGAACTCAGTTTTAATGGTTAGCAAATATTAGAAGTCCCACTATTAAAGTCTAATCTATTTATCTATATCTATATATTATGATGATGTTGTTGATCCAAAAGAGGGCAAGTCGGGCTTCCCTACGCTTCCAACGCCTTTTACCGGTCTCGGAGCCTGCTGGTGGTGCCTGCAAAAAGGTCCAACGGGGAATGGGAGTCCCCCAACAAACCCTCCGATGATCAAGTTAGAATAGAGGAGATTGACTGTGTAGAGAGAGATAGAGAGAGAGAGAAGAAGAAAAATGATGAGCTTAACCTTTGATGTGTCTTGGAAACCTCCTTATATTCTTTGTCCATCATTTCCTTGTCCACTCTGACATGTCATGTTGGCCGAAAGTTTATACTCTAGCTTGCGTTGTTCACGGTGAAGCTATCTGTTCCGATGTGAAGGAGTTTTCGTATTTAATGCTGTAGGAGCCTCATTAATGGCTGATGTGTGGTGCAATAACTCTGCAGGATCTTTGTCTGCTTACGTGGCTGGTTCCCTCCTTGATAAGTGTTTAGATGTCATTGGTTCTTGGTTTAACATTGGGTTCTCAAGAGTATTGGGCTTTAGTACTTGAACCGTGAATTGGGCTCTAAGTCGTGAGCCAAAACCTTTTGTGGGCCCACCGATGTCTATAGTTCTCCATTCCCAAGTACAGCTTTAGTCCAATGAAGGGAATAAGAAGGAAAATGGGAAGTGTGTGGGGCCAAGTGAGAGGACCGACAGAGAAGATGGTTGACCGTAAAGAGGACCGACCGTGGAGAGGGCCGACCATGAAGGGGGGCCGAGCGAGAAGACCGACTGAGAAAAGGGTCGACCGTAAAGAGGACTAACCCTGCAGAGGACCGACCACGAAGAGGGGTCGAACAAGAAGATCGACCGAGATGAGGGCCGACCATGAAGAGGACCGACTGTGCAGAGGGCCAACCGTGAAGGGGGGCCGAGCGAAAAGATCGACCGAAAGGAGGGCTGACCGCGAAGGGGGCCGAGCATGAAGACCGATTGAGAGGAGGGCCGACCATAAAAAGGACCGACCGTGCGGAGGGCCGACCGCAAAGAGGGCCGAGCGAGAGGGGGTGGCGGCGCGCAGGGCTCGAGAAGCGATGAGGCATGTGATGATGTGAAGTGGAATAGACGGGAAAGGGCAAAATGGTGGGGAATCGTGGTTGTACACGTGGGATGATCTAAACCAGTGGTGAGGGAAGTGATGCGTTAGTAGGAAGCGAAAGGTTAGAACTAGGATAGGACGTGGAAAAGGCGAGGGTTGTAACTTTTGAAAATTTCAAACTGGAAAAATTTAACATCGATCCTTGAAAAATAGGCAAACCGTGGGCATTTGGAGTTATCCGTTTTACATATCTTATTGCGAGAAACCAGCACATCCCAAACCTGATCTCATTCGTTTCGTGTGATACTTCCTTCCAACAGTTTGCAAACTTTCTCGCGCCTGCATCCGAAGCAATATATAGAAACGTAAAAGAGATGACTCGAGACGAAGCGCTAACCATGAGGTTAGAGGCGTTAGGTGAAGACGATATGGTGGAGTTAGCGGAGCAATATAGGATGGAGCGGCAGGAGGAAAGAGAGACGGAGCAAGCAGGCGCGACCTCGTCCGTCCATAATGATCGTGGCAGCGAGGCCAATTAGCCAAGTGGGACCTGACCACTAGCACACCAAGGTTGACAAATCGACGTTTACGACGAAGGAGTTGGAGGAGGTGCGTAAGAAATATCATATTCCAACAGAGATAGAGTTGAAGCTGCTGACGTCGAAGGAGAGGGCATCGGATGCATGTCCGATGAAGTTTACACTATATAAGGAGGCGTTGCGGGGGGGGGGGTCTGAGGTTGCCGCTCCCACAAATAGTGGTAGACGTGTTGAACTAGTTGGAGGTGGCACCAGGTCAACTTATGTCCTATGTGTGGAAAATATTACTAGCTTTGCATGGCCACGGGCGACCAGGGGAGCAGCAATGACAGTGGATGAGTTCTTTTTTTGCTATAAGGCCTCTGGTCAACAAGAAACATCGGTGACCTTGCTCGCGGTGGCGGGTAGAGGATTAGTAGTGGGTTTACCATCGTCGGTGAAGGGGTGGAGACCAAGGTGGTTTTACGTATCAGCAAATGGCGGTAGGGGGTGCGCACAATGTGGAAAATTCTCATCAAGTCGATGGAGCCAAGGCTGGAGGCAGAGGCTAGGGTTAAACGAGTGAAGGAGTGGAGGGAGAAGGAGGGTGTGAAGTGGGATGACCTTATCTAGCCTTCAACCTTGTTTGCCTTAAGTCTGGGGCCACAGCCGACCGATGAGGACCCTGCACTGGAGGAGTTAGAGGCGAGGAGGAAAATGTAGGAGGCAGAGCATGAAAAGACATTCACCAAGGCAGACAAGTACCATGCGCCTAAGCTGGTCATGAAGGAGCGAGTCCGACCACGCCCCAAGCCTCTGAGAGACAAGGATCTGACCGATTTTGCGCCGCTGCCACCCATAGTGGATTCGCTGAAGGAGAGGAGCAAAAAGGAGGTAGAGGCGGTGTTGAAGAAAAAGAAGAAAATGAGGGCAGCTGAGAAGGAGAGCGTGGGAGAGGGGGCAGTTTTGAAGAATGTGAAGGAGGGGATGATGGAGGCATCCCCAAAAGTAGAGGTGGGGGAGACCAGGATAGGGGTTGGAGAGGCCATGGGCCCAAGTACCCAAGTGGTGAATGGAGCAGCTGAGCCAAAGCAGTTAGCAGGAGGCAAGCGGTTGGAAGACCAATTGCTGGAGATTGTGCCTGTATAAGAAGTGTCCCTAAGTCCTGGGGTAGGGAGGGGGTGAGCGAGCAAATCGGATATGAGCGCCACGTTGAAGACCACTACGTATCATGTTCATGTGGTGGTCGGTCGTTCGGCAGAAGAAGGGAGCGAAGCCAGGGTCACCGCAGATCGTCTCCTAGGGGTAGTAGAGGATGCGGTCGTGCGGTCGATGGCGCAATTTACAGAGGCCGACCTCCCGAGAGGGTTCTGCTCAGCGCAGATGGAAGCGACAACCTTGGCGGCGGCCCTGTTGAAAAAGGTGGCGCTGGCAAAGGTGGAGACAGAGCCGCTGAAGGCCTAACTGGAATGGGTGAAAACACAATTGCAAAACTTAAGGGTAGAGATGGCGTGCTGGAGAAAAGCCACGTGGAGTGCTTATGCAAAGGGCCTAGACTATGTGCAAAGGACGAAGAAGATGGAAGTATTGGCGATGGTGCAGAGCTACTTGGCAGAACACGCTGCCTCCGAGCTCGCCGTCGCCAAATCAGGACTGGAAGTGGTGCGCCACAAGGCGGTGTTGCTGGAGTTTGAGTTGGCGGGCGAGTGGAGAAGGGTAGGCAAAGTCCAAGAAGCCTGCAACACTGCCAAGGAAAGGTTAGAAGAGGCCTCTCCAACAATGAAGATCTGCGCGACCTGGCCCTAAAAGACAAAGAAGAAGCAGATGGGCGCATCGCAGAGTTGGAGAGGACGCTGGAAGAAGAGAGGGCCAAAATGGCCTCTGAGAGGGCGGCGTACCAAGACCTGTGCGTGGCGGCGATAGAGCAATTTTAAGGGGTCTGCTGAATTCCAGATGGCAATTAACGCAACGGTCGCGAGGAGTTTGGCCAAGAAGGGTAAAAGGGGTGCTGGGCCATTAGGAGTGGCCGCTGAGGGTAGAAGCGAAGAAGAAGTAATCCAAAATTTTCAGCGGTCAGACTTCTACAAGCACGAGATGAGCCAGT